CGCTGGGCACTCACCGTGGTCCCTGGAGACTGCCACCCATATTGCTTACGCCACGGGCCTCTCTGCGGTGGTGGGAGGGTGGCTGGGAAGCAGGCCCCCGCGGCTTGCTGGGGTTTTCCATCGCGGCACCTTGACGTGGGGTTCGTCAATGTCGATGCAGAAAAGGGAGAGAGTCGGTGCGATGGTTCATGAGGACAGGATTGCTCTGACGACTCTGCCTGCCCTGGACCGTTGCTGTGACAGTCTGGAGCCGTATGCGTTACTCCGTGGCTATCTGTGATGGCTCAAACCCGCCTTGCAGGGACAGAGCCTGTAAAGTTGGACTTGGCAGTACCGTGGCGTTGGACCAAAGTAGCTGCGGGCTTTGTGCCCAGCACAAATATGCAAGCAGGAGAGACTGTATTCTGTACTCTGCTCCAGCGCTCAGCAAATAAGACAGGGAATTTACTCTCCATTTGCAGACTCTGAAGGTGATGCCTTTGGGCCAAGGAAGCAATTCTGTGTGGTTTTTTGCATGCTTTTCACTAAAAATGTTTTTTACTACTGGGTAAAAACCCAAAGGGGTTTTTGCGTCCCCATTTGGGCTCAGCTCCTGTCCCTGCTGGAAACATTTCACTTTCTGTTGAAATGTCTCTCACTGCAGTTACACTTCAATACCAGTGCAATCTGTGTGCGGGATGAGGGTCACACCCATACAGTCTGAATGGAGTCCAGGTAGATGCCCGATTCCAGTTAGTTTTCACTCTAAGGGAATCTGGATCTCTAAACTACCCAGAGCTGCATTAATGTAACCACCGGTTGAACGCTGGACTACTTTTCTGCTGGGTAGTCTGCTTTTTCCAGAGTTTTTAGTTTGCGGTGTCCTTTCCGCTGCTCAGGAGACAGCCTAAGGCGATGCTCTCTACACTAGCCATCTCCAGGAATGAGATCTCTGAGCTCAACGGCTCAACGCCGTGAAGGTTGAGAAGTCAGCTGTGAAGCTCTCTGCTTTCCTTTTTTTTACAGGACAGAAAATAATCGTGAAAGAAGCCAGTGGGAAGGTGTTCCTGCAATGCAAAATGGACACCCAAAGTCAAGTCACATGGCTGAAAAGTGGGACTACGATAGAAAACGTAACACAACTGCACTTGGGTGCAGTTTACGATGATCCCAGAGGCATGTATAGGTGTGAAACAGAAAGTAAAAAGCAAAGCTCCCCCCTCCAGGTGCACTATCGAAGTAAGTGTTGCAAACCTGGTTTCTAGAGCCAGAACTGCTTGGAGTTCTCACCCAAGTAAATTTCTGAGAGAACTACTGATTTCCCAGAGTTTGAGGGTGGTTCCACCAGTTTGTGGAAGTCCTGACAGCTCCTGTGCTAGGTTGCCCTTGGGAACAGCCAAGCTGCATGTTCCCGTGCATGTGGTGTCCCCGTGAGAGCTCTACAGCCTCACTTAGTGCCATGACCTGGCACTCGTACTGCCTCATTGCTAGCTGCTCGCTGGCCCTGCTGTGGCCTGCCCCGAGTGCTGGGGACACGTGGCAGCTTGGGCCACTGCCTTGAGTCATGCAGCAAGCCAAACTTAATCCCCGGTCTCTCGCCCTGGGACTGGAGCCTACCTGGTCTGGCAGAGCTGGCTGAGCGCTTTGGGCTCAGACTGAGCCTGGCGGCAGGGCAAAGGCAGCCAAGGGGCAGGGTCCTGGTCATACACCTGCTTTCAACGTTTGTGTCCTTTTGGCTTCCAGTGTGCCAGAACTGCATCGAAGTGGACGCTCCCACCATCTCGGGGATCGTGGTCGCAGATGTTGTCGCCACCATCTTCCTGGCGGTTGCTGTGTATTGCATCACTGGCCAGGACAAGGGACGCATGTCACGAGGTGAGGGGAGAGCCCCGCTGGCTCTCAGGTGGGGACGGGAAGTGCTTGGGCATCTTTAGGAGCTGCGTCGTACCTAGGGACTTTCCATCACTGCCCACAGAGCCCAGTCACTGCAAACTGCAGGCAGCAGCCAGCACACAGCGCGTCTAGGGTAGGGATCCATGTAAGCACGCCGTGTACCCTTCCTGCCCCTAGCTCAGCTTCCCAGGAGAAGCCATTGAATGCACAAGGTTCACCAAAACATCATCCAGGGACAGCAGCTGGTGGCACAGGAACATCTGAGGCCTTGCAGGGGCTTTCCACTGAGCATCCCAGAGGAAGTAAAAGCACAGGGCTGAAAGCAGACGGCTGCTTGGGTTTGTTTGCAAATGTTCGCCACACTGTCCATGACTCCCCTGATCCTTGACCACCTTCTTTCTTCATTTAGCTTCTGACAGGCAGAACCTGATTGCCAACGAGCAGCTCTACCAGGTGAGCATGGGCACCCACGTGTGTGTGTGTACGTATGTGCGTGCGTGGGCTTCAGCACCTCTGCGTGGTATGGGGCTGCGTGGTGGGACCGGCGTGGCCATGACAGCAGAGCTGCTGGGGGATACTCCACGCCACGAGGCGCTGAGCCGCGTTGGAGATTGCTCTCTGCTGGGGCATTTGCAGCCGCCTCCTCCTGAGTGACCCAGAGGACGGGGCAAGCTCAGCTACCCCCTGCCTCTTACTCTCTGGGGTTGTTAAGCCCTGTGTGCCAGGAGGGAAAGCTTGCCAAAAGCTTGGCAAAGGGAGAGCTGGGCCAGCTTCCCCTGTACCCTCCCTCCCAGGGCTAGACAGAGACAGTTGTAGCTCATCTCGCCTTTTTTTCCTCCTAGCCCCTTGGCGAGCGGGACGATGCACAGTACAGCCGGCTGGGACCTGCCAAGGCCCACAAGTGAAGTGGGAAGACACTGGGGCCTGTGACTCCTTCACACCGGGAGTGATATTACAGCAAAGCCACCGCCAGCGCCCAAGAGCACCGGTACCCTGCCCTGGCACTGCCTTCGTAAGCTCACTGCAATGCGGGTTTTTGCCTAGAGAGCCCTCCGGCTCCTTGCCAGGATGGGCTGCTTGTAGCACTCTGCTCTTTCCGTGACCTCCGGCACTTCTGTGTTCCTCTCATTAAAGATGAGCCTATCCCATAGCGTCCCTGTTCCATGGGTTCTGTTGAGGCCTGGGGAGCCGTGCAGTCGGAGGAGGTGAGCGCTGGATGTGATCTGCCTGGATCCCTGCAGAGCCGTAAGGCTCCTGCCTGTCCCGGCAGGACACTGCTCTGCCGGTGCAGGCAAGTGCCCATGGCTGTGCCACCTCTCTGTGCCGGGATCTAAATGACGTCCAGGTCCATTGCTGAAGCTGAGGATGGGGGACCTTGTGAAGGGAGGAGACTGCCGCCCCTGAGAGCGGCAGAGGCTTTGTCTCATTTAATTCCCCTTCCAGAATAGGGAGCGGGGACACCAGGAGCACAGCGACACTCAGCAGGGTCTGAGTCACCCCTGCGAAGTGCCTGCATGCCTCAGTCCTCTGGGCAGAGCTGGGGGGCTGGCAGGAGGACGTTTCCTCTCTACACGCAGGGTTTGGCATCTAATCGCAATCTGCAAGCCGCAGGGGCTTGCCAGGTCCCTGGCACCCAGCCAGCCTGCGAGTTTTCTCAGTGCTTAGGGGAGTGAAGCGCGAGCAAACGAGCAAGCTGTGCTGGCTCCCCAGAAGAGCTGCCGGGGGCTGGGCCCAAAGGGGAAATGGAAACCGCAGAGGGGACGAAAACGGCAGCAGAGACTGTGCAAAACACGTGGCGGCAGAGCTGGCCGGGCAGCGAAGGCCTGAGGCAGTCCACACTCCCCGTACCTCGGATGTTCTTGGGAGGCTCTCCCACCCTCCTCTGCCTCTGCAGCCAACCGGAGAGTGACTCACCTTTGTGACCAGGCCAGGGATCTTTTGTGGGGCGTTCGGCAACCCCTCTTTCAGGCTCCCTAGCCATCCCAGAGTGCTGAGTACAGGATCCGGACGAGCAAACTTTCAGAGCCTTTCCCAGCTCAACCACCGTTGCAGGCACTGAGCAGCACTGGGTCTCCCCACAGCAACCCAGCTCCTCCTGGCAAGGTCCCCGCTCCCCAGCTCTGAGCAGAAACAGCTAATGTGGTCGGACTATGGCCAAAATGGGAGGCAGATAACAGACAGGATCACCTAGCAGTTAGAAACCTCAGAAACCAGGTCACCCTCCATGTGCCAGTTGCACACACCTGTAGGTTATGTTTTCCTGCTTTTCTAAGAATCTGGGTGACAGGCTTTAGAGGGCACCAGGCTGTGAATTGCCTTGTGACTCAGTGGTAACTCAGAGTTAACACTCAATAAAAACTGGGCACAAATCTGCGACACCTCTGACACGGCAAACAACACGTAGGCTGTGCAAAGCTGTGGGTGCACCCCATGTGCCCTTACGGGAATCGGTGTGTGATCAGCCTTGCGGACAGCGAACAAGAAAAGGACCTATTTTCCTATGGTGTTGGCTCTTTACACGATAACGTTTTGCTCTTCACGGGAGCAGAATAATGTCTTAGTGGTTTTTCCGCTCTAACCTGCTCCAGTGAAGGGTGAGCCTGATACAGCCGTTGCAGGCAGAATATGCCAATAGCCGCCTTTGGTCTGCATAGCCATGTGGGTAGGACCTTACAAAAAGAGTGACCACCAGACTGCCTAGTTCATAGGGCTTTCATCACCATCAGATCTCAAAGCAATGAGCAAAAGTGGCTAACCACACCCAAAGAGCAGGAGAAGCCGGGAGCAGAGTGGGCGGCTATGCTCTGCACAAATCAAAGACACAGCAGGGGTGATATTTACAACTCATCTGTTTGTGAGAGGCTTCTCAGCAACTCACTCTTGGGAGGAGAAAGAAATATTTCTATAGTGCAGCTAAGCACAGAGGCAGAGAGATGTTGTCGCTGGATGGGCGCTGATCCCCCTGAGATAAGGAGAGCGTGGGGTGGCACCGGTTGGGGCAAACATTAGGCAAACATGCAGCCCCATAAATGGTGGCAGAAGCACTGGGGTGTAGCTTGAAGCAAAATTTAGACCTTGTACACCCAGAGCGGTCCGAGCTTCTCACATCCCAATCGTGGCAACGGGCTGTAAGGCTGGGCTGAGCAAGCGTCCCTGGAGCACTGATGTTTTGCAGAAGCTGAGAACATGGCCCAGAGTGGTTTTAGAGCTGCTGGGGGTTAGTGCTCTCTATCTTGCAATCTGCCTCCTAGATGTTTAGCGCCTTGTATGGTAAACCCAGCTGTGCTGCCTTTAAAACCACATCCTGCGGGGTAAGCACAGCAATCCGAAGCACGAAACTGGCTGGGTGTTCATCTCCTCGTGCTGAAACTCAAGGGTTAAACCACCCCCAGCCCCCATCACTGCTGCTGTTTCCTTTCTTGGGAGCTCTTGCTCTGCAGAGCAACAGAAATGTGGCTTGCTCAGCCAGCGTTAGAGCAGAAACGTTCCCAGGCATCACAGCATCTCTTGGGCCCGTCTCCTTAAGTTACTACCTGCCCCATTGCTACTGCTTTGGAAACCACAGCTTCCAAGATCAGGCAGATTTAAAATCTGTATGTATACTGAGTGCATGGGACCTCAGCTGTTTCACTTGCCCCCAGACAGCAGCCCCAGACTCACTCCCCAGCTCCTGATGATCCCTGCCCCGCTCTCCAGCCCCGCTCTCCTAGGCACGGCAGGGCATTTTTGTACCTGTGGTTGTCCCCTCCCATCCTGGCACAGTCTGCTCCCAAACCCCTCGCAGGCTGCTGCAAGGTGAGGCAACACAGACCCGCAGAAGCTCTCGCTGTCTCGGACTACTTGTGACCTGGGAACTCCCCTTAACAAAAACTGTTTTCTTTAACAGAGACAAAACCACGGGGGAAAAATTTTCCAATGCATGCCTGGGGGTGCTGTCTCTCATTTTATTAATATATTACAGTTTTAAAATGTATATAAAGAAGTTAAACCAGATCTTTACCAGTGGCAAAGAAGCCTGCCATCTGTCTAACAGAACCTAGGCAGAACTCAAGTTACAGAGCGGAGATGGGGAGAGAAACGGCAGCAGCAAAGGACAGATCACAAGAATCTCGAAGAGCAATAGCTCTGGAAAATGACACTTGGCCAGCAAATGTACTTGTACACCCCTTAGGGTACAACACACTCAAAGGAATGCGTTTCTCCTAGGCTACACTATAGGATTTCAATTCAAACGGAGTCCATGAAGTCTCTGGGATGAGAAGGACAGCCTAGCAAAAGGGTTTGATGCTCTCTTGGATTTTGTAGGTCCCGGGCTTTATCTCTGTGGCCGCAATGCATTCATTTCAGTTCCAGTGAACAAGCTGTTTCAGAGCAGAGTGCTAGTCCTGGGGCTGAGCCAAAGGGTGTCAGTTCCAACCTGGGAAACGTGAAAATCCCTGTTGTGCTGTCTCAGTCGGACTGCAAAGCTGATACTCATTGCTGAGTGGGGGTTCAAATCTTAGCTGAAATATCTAAGAGCCCCACTATTTGATAGTACCAAAGATCTAACGCTCAGCCAAGCACTTAAATTTCCTAAGAGGAGGCTTTCAGTGGCTTGGGAAGGCGCCAAATCCCCATGCGACCCTGTGAGGACGTTATGCTGAAGGTCTGAAACATAAAGGTCACTGGATGCAAAGTGGTACTCAGCCCCACTCATTTCCTACAGAAGACAGGCTGGGGGATGGACAGGTCAGTCTGCATGTACCGGCAGAAGCGCTCCTCATATTTTTAAAGGAAAACTGTTCTTTTTGACTGAGATGTTTTCATTCAAAGCAGTGGCTTTTCTATGAAAATGTACCATTTTGTTGTTAATATACTGACTGCCTCTGTTCCTTTTGTTACAATCCTGGGCAGCAAAACTAAGATAGGCTTTGAGCATGAGAGCGGGACAAGGTCAGAGGCCCGTCGCTCTGAGAAGGACCTGCTCTTTGCCCACTAGCTACCCAGGGAGGCACGGGGAGCAAGTGGAGGCACTCAGGGCAGAAGTTAAATGGGCGGGAAAACCAGAGCATGCAACTGGAGCAGAGAGAGAGAGAGAAGTGTGAGGGAAAAGGAGGCCAGGAACCACGAGTGAGGCTGCAGTCCTTTAATGAGAAGGAAAACTTCTTGCCAATGTGCTCATTTGATTCTTTTCCCTAACGTCAAACCGAAGGCCGAAGGAACACATCAGGGTGGGACAGCGGATGGCAGCAGGGTGCCTGGCTGCCCTGTGTAGCCGCCTGGCTTACCCCAAAACGCGGGCCTGCAGAGAACCGGTACCGAGCTGGGAAGAAGCGCTTAGCCCCTCTGCCGCTGTTTTCCAGCCTGTCATCCGTGGGAATTTCAGAAGCCCCTGGATTCCAGGCCTGCATACACTTCCCGCTGGCCCTTCCTGATGGGCTGTGGGAACAGCAGAGATGTTAGTTCAGGAATCCTTATTAACACACCCTCAAACAACGCCAGGATCTTGGTGCACACAATACGTGGAGAAAACTACAACAGAGAGAGCAGGTGTAGTGCTGCTGTGGAAGCGTGCACGAGAAGCTGCAGTTCTGCTCCCGACTCGCTGTGTCAGCACCAGGAGAAGGGGCTCCACCCTCACCACCTTTTTCCTCCGCTCCCAGGAAAGCCTGGAGGTTGACTGGATGCTTCTTCAAAGGAGCAAAAAGATTCCCAGCTCTGGCTACCCCTCCCCAGCCAGCAAAGAGAGATGGAAAAAATGCAGGTTCTCCATACCTCATAGTCCGGGTTTGGAACGGGGGGAGGACGCTGCATCTTCTGACCTGCAACAAAGGCAAAGAGAGGTCATCCTTGGTGACGATTCATATAAGACAGCACGAGGGACTTTCATGAAGATGGTCCCAGGGCAATGCATACCATGGGTCAACTCCCACGGCTTTAGTATGAGCTTAGAGCTTTTAAAGACCCAACTGCTGCAGGCAGGAGGCCTTACGATCATTTAGGAAGAAATCAGCTTTCTTTTAGAAAGGGTGAAATTCTAGCTTTCCTGGTTGTGAAGAAATACTTGAAAACGAGAAGGGCCCATAAGCACAGGCCCAGGCTACAGCTCCACAATATGGATACCAGCTCTATACTCCTCTGCCTCAGCAAGCTGCACAGGCGTGAGCACGTCATCACTTTTCTGTTGAACCCAGCACACGACACGCACGGTAAGCGCACAATAGGGAATTTAGACCTGCTGAAAGATTTATATCAGCTTTGTGGAGGCTAGGGGAAAAGTGGCAGTGCCTGATCTGCACAAAGCCTGGCCGGTGAGCAGCCGTGGTACGTGTCTGACGGGCAGTCTCCTGGTACAAACGTCACCGTCAACACTTCTTGAACAAATCTGAACCAGCATCGTGAGGTCACCACCCTGCATCACTTTACCCTGGCATTTTTCCACTATGAGCCCCACTGCTGGCCCCAGTAGGTCACCAAACCATGGCCTCAGAAGCCAGAAATTCGAATTTATAGTTTTAATAACACCACGATTTCTAATCACGTGTTCTGTGTGCGGGCCCGATTCTTGGTCTTCGATTGCCTGAGACAGCAGCTGAGTGGGCCAGGGCCAGACTGGGTCTGTGGCTACACTTGCAAGCTCAGCATCCGCCGTACAGTGTTTGCTTCAGCACAGACTCAACACTGCTGCATAGGAGCCTGTGAAATGGTTTTCTACGGGCAGGAAGCCTTTGACACAACACGGCATCCCATCCCATAGAAGAAGGTAGCCCAGAGCAACAGATGTGGCAAGCAGGAGCATTGTTTGGTGAGGTCTTGGAGGCTTGGGGGGGAACAGAGGAGGCTCCATCACTCAGCAGGGGCAAGTGCTTAATTTGGTGCTTAGCGGACATCATGGAGAGCAGCGATGCCTGAAACAGCTCTTACCTCGTGGCCGACTGCCAGCACTAGCGCTCGCTCTCCCCTTCCTGTCTTTGCTGAAGTAATAGACCAGAATCAGCACCCCTAAGGTGATGAGAAGATCCGCAGTGATGATCCCCGTCACTGCCAAGGCATCCAGCTCCTCACAGTTTGCACACACTGCCAGGAGGAGAGATGAAGGTGCTCAGAGACGGGCACCCTTCCTTTCCAGCAAGGAAAGTCGAGGCCTCGCTCGTCTGCTTAGTGCTAGCAGAAAAGATACAGTTCCGGGGGGCAGGGGGGGAGGAGAAAAGAGCAAACAGAAAGGAAGGGGGACAGCACAGGCCATTCTATCCACCCTGCAAACAGACACAGGCTGGGGGCTGGTGTGTGCAACCTCCTTCGCTACCCTCTGCTGTTTGCATGGCCTGAGCCGGAGGGTGCAAAACATCTCCTAGAGCATTGCCCCCCTCTGCCTACGCTGGACTCTAAGGCCTGAATGCAGAGCAGCTGCCCAAAATTTCAAATGGCTCAAAGCCTTAAATCACTCTGTCAGGGTGGAGGTAAACTCCCCCTGGTTGATAGGTCACAGAAACCAGGCTGTGCTCTCCAGATGGGAGGTTTCCACTCTGCAAAATAAGAAATGCCTCTGGCCTTTGTGACAGACATTACTCTTGCCTTGTAGCATGGCAGAGTAGTGTACGAAAAAAAGATCGTGTGCTGTGTATGTGGGAACCATTGACACGCAACTAGCTTGAGGACAGCGGAAGGGAAAGGCGTAGAGAGCAGGGAGATCCCTTTTGCCAAAAATGTGCTTTTGGACTCTTTTACTGCCCACACAGAGCAGGAAGGGCCTCAGCAGAATCGCATTCATCCAGCCCAACAGCACTGAAAATCAGGTCTCAGCTCCTAATATCTGTCACTGAAATGTGTAGACTTTATCTTTAGCCTGTAGACTGAGTGCTTTTTCACTCACCTCTGGCATTCAGGTACAGTTCATACGTCTTCCCAGCTGACGAACAAGTCACGTTGACAGGGGAGCTGTCGTGATTCTCTATAATGTACTTCCTCGCGTCGTCTGATTTTCTCCCAGGTGAGCTCCAGACTATGTTGCTTCCAGTCAAGGGACACGTGATTGTCACCGTAGTTCCGGAAATCTCCACCAGGAATTCTTTATTGGAAGATGCGCCAACGAGAAGGGAAACCAGCATTACAAACGTCTTCCGAGCAGGCTTCCCTGCCCACCCTTGATCTCACCATGACAGTTTGCTCTGCAAAATCTTTGATTTCATGGTGTAATGCAAATTCCCTGTGTACGTCTTCCGCATGCATGTTTTCCTTTACTTTTTTACACTGGTCCTTTGCAACACTAAACAGTATCAAAATACCATCGCAGAGTGTTCAACTTTATGTCAGAGAGCCTGGCCACCTGCCATTCATCGTTCTGTTTATCCATATGCTTGCTGGTCTCTGCAAATGGCCTACCCTGCTTGGAGACCACTAACAGTAATTAGGGGCAACTCATTATAGCTGATTGTTCTGATCGGTGATGACAGTAGCAACTAACAAACAGGAAATTTTTTCCTCCTAAAATACTGCTTGAACTCAGATATTTCTGTCTGCCTTTTAGTCCTCACCTGTGAGGCATCTGCAGTCTTTATATCATGCTAAATAGTTAAGAATGCTGGTAAAATACACTTACCCTCCTCTGCTTCGGTATCGTCTGCAAAGGAGAGAATAATGAGTGTTAGCAAATCAGCCCACTGTTACCTTACTGCCTGTTGCTGTTGGAAAATGCCCAACCCTGCTTGGGGATCACTAGCGATAATTAGGGACAATTCATGACAGCCAATTTTTCAAATCAGTGAGATCAGTAACAGTTAATGAACGGGGAATTTTTCCTATCCTACAGTATTTGCAAAACTCAAATATTTCTGTTTGGCTTTTAGTCCTCACTTGTGAGGCATAGCTGATCTTTTTATCATGCTAGATAGTTAAGAATGCTGGTAAAATACACTTACCCTGCTGAGCTGCGGTGCCAACTACAAAAGAAAGAATAACAAGTGTTAAGTAATTTAGCTACTGATATACGCCTTTCCTACTTCAAGGTTATCCTTTCTGAACTCAGCTGCTTGAAAGAGAGGTTTATACTCCTGTATTTGTGCTAAAGGCATTAGAAGCATGCTGTTAGCTGAGACAGGATGTTGTTTTGAAATGAAGTCTTCTCCTTTGGAAGCCATTTTTAACATGGACTAACGCAGAATGGAAATTTGAATAATTTTCCGACCCAGTTTAGAAAAAGGGTTATTGCAATCTGTACACCCAGCAATTTTGCTTTATTACCACGAACCAAAGACTGCTGGAAAATCATGCCTGGTTTCTGCAGTAAGAACCACTGTCCTCTGCAAGAGTATACTCACTGCAGGATTGGACCCTGACGCTTGATTTAACGCTGTAAAGCAGTTTATCGATGTGATTTTTCTCTCTTGGTAGGAAACAAGTAGCTCCACTGAAGTCTCTGGAGCTGGAGTATTACAGAAAGAGCTTTTAGGAGGTCTGAATCAGACCTGTGGTTTGCTTTAAAGACATTTGTCGATAGAAAGTAACATGAGTAAATGAAGGAGTGACCGGTATTCATGTGTTCAGCGCTCTTGTCTCATCCCAGGTAATGCTTGCTTTCCAATAGGAGTTACTTGTAACAAAATTGTAGATTTGAAATTCCACAGGCAGAGGACTTGGCTGGAGAGAAGGTGATCTGATGCTTTTTTCTTTATATAAGATGAATTTAAATTTGAAAAAAGAAGAGGCCATTGCTAAACCAAATGTTTTCAATCTTCTCAAAGAATAGCAGTTGGTATTTGCAGCACATAGGCAGAGTAGCTGTAGTCTTATCGCAGCATCTTTTAGTTATCTTTCAAACTTATCTCTCATAGTTACCAGCTTCTTTATAGTCTTTACAGATACTCTGCACTTCATCCTAAACCAGCTTTCTAAATGCTGGTCAGTTCAAACTGGTAACATGGAAATCGCTACCACTCCCATGATATCAGTGACTCTGAACTGAAGTTAGTTACCCGTGATCACAAAACGGCTTAAGGAAAGTGCATGAATAAAGCGTAAAAATAAAATTAAAGACACAGACCCTTATAGTTCACACTGCCGCGGAAAGCAGCGCATCAAGCTCCAACCCTGCTGCATGAAGTTTGGAGACCAGGGGTCTTAGTGAGTCAGCTAGTAAGCAAAAATTCACTAGGGACCTTAGGTTCTTTTCTCTAGCCCGAGAGGGTTGGACTCCCGTTTCTCTGTCCCTGCAACCTGCACTCTGAGGGGAGCGCTCACTCTGGAGAGCAGCAGCTCCATAGGCACTGTACGTGCCAGTTGCAGAAGATGAGGCTGCAAGTACTTTGCAAAACCGGTCGCACGCCCCTATGCTTTCTCCTCTGCAGCCCCTGGGCAGCCACCCTTCTGGTCCCCGCAGGCTTCTGGCCAGCTGTACTCACCCGCACACAGCAGGAGTCCCAGGAGAGGCAAGGACCTCTCCAACCTCATCCTTGTGTTCCTCCTCCTCTTGCTCTTCTCTACCACATCAGATTGGCATCACTGAGGCTGGCTGCGAGGGAAGAAAGAACACATTGGCTTTTCAAGTTCTCGCTTACAAGAAAGAGGCCCAAGATTTTTTCCCAGAATTGTGTACGGCAACGAACTGAGCAGTGCTGGGGAGACTCACTGTTTCCAGTGAAACCTGCAAGCAGCCAAGAAAGACACGGAACACCTATGATAAAATAAGCCCATGTCAGGAAGTGCGGAGGCTCAAAACGTCTTCCCAGAACGTCATTGACAGCAAGGGGTGGCTGCTCTGCACCAGCCCCCTTCAAGTCTCAGGAGACCTGTTGTAACTGCCCTAGGAGCAGCAGGAGAGATAGATAAACAAGCCTGGATTAAATTTGCCATCAGGACCTTCCTAACAACTTTTCAAAGCGAGTGTTTCTGAAATTCAAACTACTGCAAGCAACTTAACATAGGAGGGAATAAACAAAGGAACCAGAAACACTACAAGCAGCTCAGCACCTAGAGACGCTGTACAGCCAGCAGAAATGAGCCTGTAAGTGCCAGGCTGTAAAACCTGGGGGTTTGTCCTGGTTTCGGCTGGCATAGAGTCAATTTTCTTCCTAGTAGCTGGTACAGTGCTGTGGTTTGGATTGAGGAGGAGAACAATGTTGATAACACACCGATGTTTTAGTTGTTGCTAGGTAGTGCTTACACCAGTCAAGGACTTTTCAGCTTCCCATGCTCTACCGACTGAGAAGGCTGGGGGTGCACAAGGAGCTGGGAGGGGGCACAGCCAGGACAGCTGACCC